GTTCAAATTACTGGCCTTATTTCGTAGTTGGCATAAAATAATATTAATTTTTCTGCATCCTGAATATTTAAATATGAGGGTTACATCATTATGGGGTTTGTTAAGGTTTTTTAGGTGTTTTTTAAACTGAGATAGGGATTGGGAGTTAGTAATAGTAGAGTCCAGCTGATTATATTTGTTGAGAGTGGCAGGAAAGTAACTGTTAAAATAATTATCTGTTCGACAGAGAGGCGGATTAAAAATTCTATTTCCCCTTAACTCATATAATGTACTTGTAATATCATTAATAAATGGATCTATAATATTTAATAAGTAAGGTGGGGAGTCATTATGCAGAATTCTATACATAAAAATTACTTTTTGTTTTTATCTTCTTTCAGCTAATGTTTCCCTTTCTAATTCTTCGTAAAGTTTCACATGAGATGTTCCTCGGCGTAATCCTGTAATTATCCTGGCTGCATCTAATTGGACTGATTCGAGAAGTGTTTTTTCCTGTTCTGTACAATTGTCCCATACTACACTTGCATATTCTAAGATTGGCCTAATATAAGAGGTATACATTATAATAAGAGATTTTTTATCAACAGAATGTTTTAGACTTCTAAGAATGTTTATTCTTTCATATGCCTTATCATGGGTATTTTGTATGTGTTCAGTCCATTTACCATCTTCAGTGAAAGTAAGACCAAGATGAGTGTGAAATCTATTGTTAGTTAGTGGTTCATTCAAGAAAGAAATAGGTGGGTGATTTGGTTCTTTTTTCCTAGTAAAAATAACAGATTCAGTTTTTGCAGCATTAAATTTTAGTCCCACTTTTTTGCCCATGTACTTATATTCTGAAGATCATTTGTTAGACTTTCTGCTGCTTGTATTGGATTATTATCAATAATTATGTATAAGGAAGTATCATCAGCAAATAATTTAATATTATTATTAACTTGGTCTGTTATATCATTAATGTACAGTAGGAATAAAAAAAAAGGCCCAAGAATACATTGTGTTTGAGCTGGAGGGTAAAACAGACCTATACCAGACTTACCTGGTATGATGTGGGAGAGGTTCAGTTTTTGTTTCCCTCTTCCATTCCTGACACCATATACCCAATAGTTCACCACATCCCCGGGATCCACGGTAATCATTGTATTCATGTACACAAAAACTCCGTCTGAAAAGTATAGATTGTTTAATAAGGGAAAATATAGTTGTCTTTTCTTAGTACAACATGCAATGTTGATATAGATTTTACATTTACGTTGAAACATCAAACCATATTTTCTTAAATCAAAATGTTTCATGATTTGATACATGATTGATGTTCTCTTACTGAGAGCAAACCAGTCAATATGGCGTCCATTGTATCAGCTATATGGTATTATATTTCTGTTTGGATACTTCTGTTTTAATATTAAAAACGTATCTTCGTTGTCTTATTGTCATCTTCTATTAGAAACTCCTAACAGCGTTTGGTGATAGCTTTCCATCCTCGATGCTCGATGGTTACGATCATTTACGCTTTCTGCATTCCTAGAATATTATCATGGCACAATTTAAGGCTTTGTTTGCACCATTTCATGGATGATACATGTTGATTAGTGTGATCCAGTGATGTTTATCAAAAGAATCGCGCGGCAGAATAGCGGAAAAAATGACCGGCTTTGAAGTCGGGTGTCGCTTCTCTGTAATCTTTAAAGGACATGTATCAGCCTAGCGGTTGGCCAGGTTTATTTGTTACCTATGACCAATCTTATAACTATCGTCGTGCCATCATTTTGCCATGACATATTCCAGGGATGAAGACAGCCTAAAGGAAGGTAAAACCTTGGAGTATCGAGGATGGTAACTCCCATACTTGTCAGTGTTCTAATATCCACGTTAACATCTCCGACTTGTGTGTCGAGCACCGGTTTGTTGATGCTGAAGTGAAGAGCTAACTATGAGAATCCTACATCTAAAAAAGAAATTGAGTATGTAAGTTATCTTTGTATTTAACTTAGTATACGTCATTGGTGTATTTCATTTTCAATCAATTGTAAGTGGATTTAGCGTTAAAAGAGTCTATGTATTTGAATTCATCTGTGTATTTCACTTTGCATTAGTTGTTTCTTATTTGACTTTATTTTGTGTTATCTGTGTATTATGATTCACATACTTATTTTGTGTTTCTAATTCTCATCGTTATTTTATGTTTTTTATTTACATACTTATTTTGTATTTTGAATTTACATACTTATTTTGTGGGTTCTTTTATTTACATGCTTACATGTGCATTATATTTTACAAACCGTATCTGTCCTTTTTTCTTTACATAAGTTACATAATTATCTATGTGTTTTACTTTTTATATAATCGATCAGTGTATTTTTATCTGGTAATTACCTTGAACTTCCACAAAATTAATTTTGTGATTACAATGTATGTTTCAAACAATAATTTGTCGCAGGAATAATTATATATTGATATTTGTCTGAGTAACTGTTTGTTTTGTATGTTGTTACAATCGATAACATTTAGTCAGTGTCAGTGCAAGAGTTTTTTTCTGTGTCGATGATTGAATGAGTTACCATTTGGTTAACTACAGGTGCTGTTTGTGTGTTTTCTTTCTCGTTCTTTTACTGTTCATGAATCGCGAATCGTCGCCTTTACTTGTTATAGGATACTGTTTGTCCGAGTCTTAATTTATAACTTTATTTTGTTTGAGCTACTGAGCTAGAGTTATTATTGGTTTAAATAACCATTTTAGAGATGTTTTCATTTGAGTTTCTATTCGTAAGTGGTCAGTCGAGATATCATTAGAGCAAGGGGTAGAACTAGATGTGATGACACTATCAGTATCATTACGGGTCCATATCAACCATCATTGGCGTTGAAGTATATGGTATATATCTCCTGAGT